TATAGAAGCGAATTTTACACTTAGTCTTACGCGTGTAGCTGATCAATCCACTACTCCTTCGAGTCCAAATAAACTTTTAAACTCTGCAGATATCACGCATGCTTCAACTCCTCCCACTAAATCGCTGGAACAAACAACGATGCAACACTTAGCGACAATGTTTATGATACTCAGCATGAGCAAATAGAACTATTTCTCGAGTCTCTCAAGAATAAACCAATTGTGAAGCAAAAACAAAAATTGGTGATAGGCTCTTCTCAAAAGTTAAAGCCATCGTCAAAGTAATTTATTATTATTTATTTGCGACTACCAAATTTTTCTAATTGACAATTCGGACCTTCACATATTTTCTTATTAGAATTTTGGAACGAAGGCTCAAACTTCTCGATACCAACGATCTCCGCGAATTAGCTCATTCGATGAATGATCCGAATATATTTAAAGTAAAAGTTGAAGCTGCGGTGACAAAAATTACTGCCGGCTCAATTGCTGCCAAACATCATCTTATAATGTCCACATATAAATCAAAATTTCAAATAAAACACAAAAATGAACTCTCGAGTGTTCAGCAGTAAATGTACGAGTATGATTGCTGAGATGATCGTCTAAGGAATGTGCTAACACTAATAGCTAATATTAAATAGAAAGTAGTCCAATATTGGACTTGGTAAATTTACAAGTCCAATCTGGTTACAAACATAGTAAAGTGACAACACGCGATACCAGATAACGTCCCCGGATGGTGCAAATTTATCATTGAAAAATGTTGGGATCCTATTCCAGAAAACAGAGGAACTTTATTACTTTATCCAGTCTATCAACGATGGATATCGACAAAGTTGAATTCATTGCATTTTCAGTACTGCGACTTTTTTGAGTCTCCTAAGACAGATGAAGATATTGATGAGTGTATTACAAGAATAATTACGAATTCACAATGAAACACTCACAATATCATGCTCTTTATTAGATAAAACTGGACTGGTAAGTGTTAATTTATATATATAATCGATCTTTTTAATTAGCGTTAGTGTTAACGTTATAGATGATCACGAACAAATAGAAGTGCAAATTATATCTTCATCCTTCTCCAACCCAAAAACGTCGTTTAGAGTCAACAAGTACAATTCCTCCTTCACCCAAAGCGAAAGCAATCTTATACTACAATAATTACATCAATTATAAATGAAAAAAAATGGGAAATCTAAATTATTCATTTAACGTTATCGTTAAGCTAGATTTCGTGTGCCATTTAAAAAAAAGTGGAAAAACTACGTAACGTGATATTGAATTTATGATTGGTTCGCCGCAAGTTACACTAAAAATTCTTGATACATGTCCAGTCGCCACAGAAAGTAACGCCCGATTTGGATGTGCAACATCAACATAAATTTAACTGTGGCGGTTTTCCCCCTTTTTGTTATTGTTGACTGCAAATTTTTTTTCATTTCTTTCTTCGACTTTTGAACATACA